TCCGATCGGCTTCGATCACAATCGATCCTTTGCCGTTCTTCCTTTCGGCTCGGATCAACCGATTCAGGAAATGGGCTTCTGTTCGGTCTCCATCCTCGTCTCCAAGAATTCCGAGACATTTCAGCTCATAGGCATCTTTGAGGACTTGGCTGAGCTTCTCCAAGTGTTGGGCGTCTCCAAGTGCTAGGAAGTCATCTCCATGCACCATCACTCTGACGTCCCAAGCTTCCTGGTAGAAGACTGACGCATTTGACAACCCTCTGCGGAAACCAGCCTTCTGCAGAGTCTCTGTGTAGTGCGTCTGCCAGATATTTGGAGCGTCCTGTGTCCCATACATCGACTTCACAAGAAGTCCACAGGTTTGTCCATCTTTGCTGGCTTCGTCCTCAGGCGGCAGCTCTATGTAGATCTTTCTCTTTGGAGTTCCATAAAAGTGTGCTCGTGAGATGTCCCACAAGCCCAGCTTCAGCGGCTGGTTGTGGCAGGACTTTCTCTTTGTTGCCCACAACGAGCACAGCAGTCTCATCGCCTCCAATGGGGGCGTGCTGCTGAAAAGCAAGTTGGCTGGCAATTGTTCTTCTTTGGTCTTTCTTGCCTCTATCTCACGCACAACTAATCGGCTCCTGTAGTTCGAGTTTGTTGGATCTCCCTTGTTGGTGTCCAACCATCTGACTGGAATCGGGGGCTTCCCGTTTCCTCAAAACATTCGTCTCTCGGCCGGGGCACATAAACGCCATGCTTCTCTTTCAAGCAGTCCATCTCAAGGCGTCTTGCCTCCTTCACTTTCTCGGCTGGCAAAATGCCGCCGTTCACATCATCCATGTAGACCTCTTCGAACTCTGGGTCCATCAGAGGCATCTCTGGAACTGGGCCTGCTGCGAACAGATCGAAGGTGTTCAACTCACCTTTCTCTGCTAGTGTGTCACGCAGGCTCCTCAGCACTGCTTTCACAAGCTGCGGTGGGTATACCGCTGCCTGCCTAGCAATGCCTCCAATCAGATGGATGTGTCGGTGCCATGGTCCTTTGCCCGATTCATTCGAGCAGACTTCTTGCAAGACTCGGGCCAACCCTTCATCGTTGGTCATCCAACCGGTCTCCTTTCTCACATAGCCGGTGCCTTGGAGTCCTCTTCGGTCGGTGGCCATCATCTGCCACCTGCACATTGGACCTTTCACCACAAACACACCATCTTCTTTTGCTAAGGCCTCAACCTTCTCATCCTTCCAGCTGGTTGCGGCCCATGGTGCCTCGTGGAGGAATTTCGGCCCGAGCGATGCTGCTTGACATACAGCTCTACGCTCGTATGAAGGTGATGGACGGCTTCGTCCATTCTCCTCCTCCTGACATCCGGTGCCATGTTTCTCCCGTTTAGATTCTGGCGCTGCGAGAACATATGGCACGGAGGCGATCCGGTCAAGAGAGCCGGTTCGTCTCTCTCTAGGATGTTGCGCACCTCCTGGACATCTTCGGACTTGTTCAAGTCCCAGTATGTCCCATCACTTTTCATTTTTTCATTCAAGTCGACCGCGAAACCCGGTCGCAACTTGTACCGCTCTGCAAGCGCGGTGAACCTCTTGGGCGAGTAGACTTCCATGACATCTACTGCCGACATCTGCATACTCAAATGCGCGATGTCTCCGATCTCTTGCTCAGTGATCTCGATGCCATTCGCCTCATAGGTTCCTTGAATGATCTTCTTCAGATGCTGCTTTGCGATCTCCTTCTCTTTTACCAAGGTGCTGCATCTGGCTTCCACCCTGCTGGTGGTGTTTCTGGAACATGTGAAAACTGAGACGTTTTCTTTGGACTCTCTTCCACTCTGGGATCAAGGTCTTCGACAGCAGTCTCTGCCGTCCTCTTTGTTCCTTGGGCCGGATTCGGCTTGACCTTTGCCCCGGGTGGATCTATCCTTAGTTCTCCTGTTCTCTTCTTGGGCTCTGTTGCTACCTTGGCTTTCGCCACTGGTTTCTTCTCTATCTCGGCTGCTTGCCTCTTCATCTCATATCTCTCTTTCGGGTCATCGGGATAGGTCTTCTCACCCTCTGCCGCTGTTGGCGGCGGGCTCCCCGACCCTGCGCTCTTTGCTTCTTCTTTCTTCTCTGGTTCTCCGGCCGCGTCTTCGGCCGTGATGTCTGTGTCCTTGTCGGCCACGACTTTCGGCTTCACAGTGTCAAGCTGTTGCCGTTCTTTCCTCTTCTTTGCATGGGCTTCAAGTCTCGCTTGCCCAGCTTCATCCTTTTCCATTGCTTCGGTGATCCTTGCTCTGCACGCCTCTGTGTGCGGCAAGGTCGTCCTCTTCTCTTCCAAGATGCACCTGCATCCTGGCTTCTGTGGCTCCATGCTTGTGCACATCCTCTCTCCTGATGTACACTCGCCTCTGCTGTGGTGGCGCCACCCGTTCCTCTTTAAGAGGTGGTACCACAAGACGTTCTTCGAGCATCAACTGCTCACCGGCAGGCCTTGCCGCGGAGTGCTCCCACGGTAAGCCCCGCAAAAGGTCCCAACCACTTGGGTCCCAACGGTCGGCTGAACTCAGCCGCCGGATTCCTGCGCCTCTGCGCACGCCATCAGCCGTCATTACCAAAATGGATCCTGTTCGGCCATGGTGACCTACATAGCGTCCTTCTTTCAGGATGCGAACTCCCTCGCCTACTTCTCTACAGTATAGGCGTTCACCAAAAGCTATGGCGGGTTTCCGCCATTGCTTCCCACATCTTCTGGCCTCTGGCGTTCTGCCGTCTTGACCTTTCTTGTACCTGCTCAACAGGTCTCCTGCCTGCCTTGGCAGCCATGCCAATGCAGGGTCATCATCTTTGAGCTCTTTGCCGAGCTTCTCTTCCAACGCGCTGCGGAGGACTCGTACTTGACGTTTGACCTCCTTGCAGGCGTTCTCTGCCAGACCATTCGCTTGATGGTCTCCTACTGGCGACTCTTCCGAAACCCAGTCTATGCCGGTTTCTTTCGCTGCCGCTTCTTTCAAAGCTACCACGGATGGCTCACCATCCGACTTGAGAAACACCTTGCGGTGTCCCAAGTTCTTCAAGAAGTTCGCCACGAACTTCACTGCATACGGCGTTGCTCCCTTCGAATCCACGAAGGTCGCCGCTATAAGGACTGTGTCCTCTCATCTTTCACCACGAGGATCGGCTTTACTCGCTCGTCCTCCACACCGCCCCGTGACATGAACGTGTAGTCCATTGCCACTGTGGGCACAAGGCTCTTTGCCTTCTGCTCCTCGGACCTCGTCCGATGCGGCTGTCCTACAGCCCGTCCGGCAATGCAATGCCGGCACCAATTTCGATACTGCACATGGCCTGTCGCCTCGTGCTCTTCGATCTCAGCCGGAGTCGGATCCTCCGGTGCTCTTATCTGGATGGGTTTCTCAACCTCATCAACTAATTCCAACTCGGTCGGCCTGAATCCATAGAGGCATCTCCTCTTTCTCCTGCGGCGTTCAACTCTGCAATGCCACAGCATTCCTTGGTCGGTTTATACCCTGGCTTTCTCAAGTAGAAATTGTACACTCCCTGCTCTTGATACACAGGGATCCAATTCCGCTGCTCTGCAGCGCTCGCTTTCTCCAGGATCGCCTGAACAGCCTTTCCAACTTTGGACCCTTGCGGAATCAAGTTTCCGCCATTCACATCAAGAACTGCAATCCTTCCAAAGCCTAAGCACTTGGATGCTGAAATCAATGGCTTGTGAACATCGGCCATTGAGCCTTTCACACGGCATTTCGAACCCTTCAAAGGTTCCAATGCCCTGACTGGGCACCAACTCTCCTGATGCAGTCTTGAAAACAACCCCGTTGCCTTCACTGACAACCACTCGGTCCTCCCAGCCATTCGGGATGGCTGTCTGGGCTGCTCCAGTGTCCAGGTTAAACTTCATCCATTCTTCGGCGGATGAAGTTTCCGCTATTCCAATTCCACTCAAGTCTGCCATGAGCATTCCGACATCAGCTTCCGGAGCTGGCTCGATGCCATCGTCCGGATCGTCCATCTCTTCCATACTTCCTGCGGCTTTACCTTTGCCGCCTTTTCCACCTTTGCCTTTGCTGCCTTTGCCACCTTTGCCACTCCTATCTCCTTTGCCTGGACCTGACCATTTATCGCCTTTTCCATCCGGCCGTTTCTTGCTCCAGCAATCGGCCGCTCTGTGTCCCTTCTTACCGCAATTGTAGCAGGTGATATCTTGAGCCGCGTTTGAGCCTTTACTTGGGCCTCCTTTACTTGAGCCTTTCTTTCCATCGCCTTTGGCCTGTTTACCTTTTCCTTTACCTTTTCCTTTGACTAGGCTTGCAATCCATTGTCCGATCGAATCGACGTCCATGGGTTGAGGTCCTTGATAACTAGAACTCGATGAACCTGGTTTTGGAACAGATGACTTTGATGTGAAAGATGATTCAATGACAAGTTCAATCTCCTGTTTGATCAATGAATAGGTTGTCAATCTACTCTTGTTCAACAAAAGATGTTTCTCCAAATCTGGGGGTACCAACATCTCCAATGAAGCGGACTTGATGTCGTCCGATAGAGTCTCCCTTATTCCTGCGGCACGCCTCCGGGACTCGTACCGCCTGATGAGTTCTTCGAGCTGTTCGATCGCTGGCCTCACCGCGGACCACGTTTTGACTCGTTCAGGTTGGAGAATTGCTCGAAGTATATTGCGTTTCCGTCCCGAGGTTCGGGGATCCGAACGACGGTGAACCCGTCGATATGCTTCAAATCCATTTGAAGCTCCTACCATCAAATCCTCTGTTTCACCTGAGGTCAGGGTCAGGAGGACGCGATGAATTTGATCAGCTTTATCCTCTAGATCATCGATGGCTGCTATGGTACCAGTCCCAAACGCGGACTCTATAGCACTCATTTCAATCGCGCCTTCCTGCTCCAAAATATACTCAAGAACTTCAATGAACTCTCTCCCAAAAGTGGACATGAACAGGTTATCGATGCTCCTAGTCTACTTTCGGAATTCCCCTTCAACGTTCCCAAAACTCTCAGGACGGCCCAAACCTTTGGTGTCCATAAGTATTTGGGAATTTCGTCTATCTTCCTTTTTCTCAAGGCTCTTAGCCAGTTCTCCTACAGCTGAAGCCAACATCGATACCCCACCTTGGGATTCTCTCAATACCTGGTTCTCTTGTTCCAAACGTGCCTGGTTTTGCTGGAGTTGCAAAACCATATCAGACAACTGTTGGACCTGTTGCTCCAAAGCCATGGTTTCCCACTCTCAACCCCTGTCGGCGCTGCTCTCGCACCTTTTCAGCTGCGGACGATTCGTCCGATCTCCGGCCCCTTACCAGGCCGGTCCAAGGGCTTTCACCCTTGAGAAGGTTTGGAAGCTTTTGGCACTCCACGGACCTCGATGGTGGTCCGTGTCAGCTCTTCCGGATTGCGGCCAACTGTCGGTGTGGCCTTTGCTTTCTTCTCTTTTGCTCTTGGTGCCAAGTTCACCTTTGGCGCCGCCTTTGCCTTGGCGCTCGATCCAAGCCGAGCAGGGCCCTTAAGTCCCCGTCGCTTGATGTAGTCCTGAACCACAGGCAACTGTGCCTGTCTTCGTTCGTCGCAACTACTACAGGCCTCGTTGGATCCTCTCTTTCCTTGGTCGTTGGGGGTCTTCCAGAGTTCGCGAATGGCGGCCAATGCAACGGTACCTTTAAGGCCTCGCTGCTCAACAAGTTCGTCGGCCGCAATCTTTCGCACTTGGAATGGGCTCTCCAATTTCCAATTTTCAATCGGCAATCGCTGGGCCCGCTCGTTGGCTAGGGTGACAATGCGGAGGTTCAGCTCCAGCGCACGCCCCCAGACCGCCCGTCCCTGTTCGGTGTCTCGGGCTTGCGGTCGCTTGGCTGGCGGTGGCCCGTCCGGTGTTCGGGGCTGCGGAACCGGACTCGGTAGGCTCAACGACTCTTCCTCTTCGACCTCCTCCTCGGCTGAATCAGCCGCTTCGCTCTTCTCTGAGGTCTTCCTCTTCTTGATCCGCTTCTCCTGATTGCGGACCTTCTGTTCTTCCCGCTCTTCTTTGATCTCTTGCGGCGGGCGCTCCTTGCCAAAGTCCTTGATGCGCCTCCTCAAGTCTTCTGTGATAACACCCTGCTTCTTTTGCAACCTGACCAGGTCCTTGAGCTTCCGATACTGAAGCGAAACCTTGCTTCGAAGTCGGAATCCGGACTGTGGTTCTGGGTGCTTCTTGACTTGGCCCCAAATCTGTTTCTTCACCTGCTTCCTCCAAGGTGCTTTGGGGTCGACTTTGGCTGGGGTATATTTGGCGTGAATGCCACGAACTTCCCAACCTGTTTTGATACCCTCTGGGGATGTGATGAAGTCGGCGATAACTCGGCCAGATGACGGCTGTGCGGCTGGATCAGCCGCTTCAGCCCCTGGCTCAACTGTTGGATCTTGTTCAGGCTCTTCTTCTTCTCCTGGGCCTTCTGTCCCTTTTGTGTTTTCCTCTTCTTCTTTTGTTTCTGCGGTCTTCTCAGCCGCTGAAGTTGTTTCGGCGGTCTTCTCAACCGCTGAAGTTGTTTCGGCGGTCTTCTCAACCGCTGGAGTGGTGCCTGCGGCTGAATCCGCCGCTGATGTGGCTGGCAAAGGCTCTTTCTCCTCCTCCTCTTTTTCTTTACTTCCTTCTCCTTTTCCACTCGGGGCGGCAGAAGCTGCCGCTCCCGAGGACCCCAGCTCCTCCTCCTCGGAGCTCTCGACTTTACTGTGTCTTTCTTCCTTTATGCGCAGCGCTTTGTCCCTGTCACTTTCACCGGACTCGTGCGCTACCATGAAAACGAGGTTTCGACGTTGCGGAACGCCTTTTCACCTTGAGCCAAAACACATCATAAGTCACGTGTCTACAGTACTCTAGCGGAGTATTTATGGGCTGTACATGCAAACACTATAAATGTTTGCTAATTTTTTCCTGGCACTGCGATCCCCAATCTGCAGTTACCCAGATGTATTCCACGAATGTCATCCCTGGCGGTGGTTTAAAATGCCAGGACCATTGTTAACCCACCACTGAACCAAAAGGAACAGCAATTGTATCAACAAAAATCGAAGAATGAACTATTCAACTATTCAAAAACCGCTCAAGGGACTAGTCCTTTTGGACCCCACACCAAAAGAAGAAGAACCTTTTCTGCCCTCACTCACCCTCTTTTTTGGGGGTCACTTCCACCCGAACGAAAAACACCCGGACCCGAACGAAAGGACGCACCGGTCTCCCGACGACGGGACCGGTGGATCCGCACCGATCAAGCTCCGCAGCGCCAGCGCTCGGCTCTCGTCGTTGCTGGTGACGCACACCACGATGAAGCCTGAAGGACGAAGGACGGTCGACGAAGGTTCCGGCCAACAGAGGTTGAAGGACCCGAACTAGCCTATCCCAGTTCGGTACCCCAGTAAGGTCCTAGTTCAGGTCACTCAACCTCTCTTGGGGTGCCAGGTCCGGTGAATGCCACGGTGGGAAGGACATATCACACACATCATATCACGGTCGGCCCAACATAAATAGATACCATGGGCCGCTCGCCCTGGGCCCCTGTTTGGGGTGGTTTTCATGGACCCGAATCACCTCGATCAGGAGCTAGAATTGAACACCCCTTACTGTAAGGGGCCTTGGTATATACTCAGAGGAGGCTCACAGGCCTAGAAAGGCGGCTGAACTACGATGAAGTCGATCTTCGGGCTCCAAAGACCCCTCCGTCAAGAGGGTGTTCGCTGGAAAATGGACGTTGGCTTCGCCCAAAACGGGACAAGATGGTGTCCATTCCGAACTTGTAGCCTTTGTGAGTTGCTATTTTCCCAAGCGCTGAAAGGTTTGGTCGAAGGATCAAACGTGTTTCAATTAGCACCCAAGAGGTTCTTGCTACACGTGCGCGTGTCTTCTTTGGACCACCCCTGACGCAGTCTGGGTATACATACCTGGACTGGATACGTTTGGTGTTGTCTCCCGGCGATCCTCCACATCGTGCGCAGCAACAAAACACCCAAAAACCCCCCAGAACTCAGGTCTCAAGGTGTCCGAAGGTGTCCAGCAGAACCTGCCGTCCTCTCAACGCCAAAGACGCTGGACGCCATGCACCGCGGAGCTCTTTTTGGACCGCGGCGCGCGGCGATGCGGTGCAGCTGCTGCACCCGGCGTCGCCGGCGTCGAGAGCGACGCGACGCGACCGGCGGAAAAAAAGGGAAAAGAGAGCTGCGAAGCGGCCGAGGAGGCCCGACGCGGAGGCGGGATGGTCACGTCTCCTTGGCTGAGCCAAAAAGAATGAACATGGCGACCCCACAGACAAAAGAGAAGGCCAAGAAGATAGAACAAACTCAGTAGCTGGATCAGAATGAACAACTTGGGAATCCAAAAAGAATTGTGAGATGTTCTGTTTTGGCTTTCGGTCACGGAAGTGTCTTGCGAGGCGGGCAGCCAAACCCTTTTCTCTGTGAGACCTTATGTGAACGTTCCACAACCAAGTCTGCGTATTTGTTCAGTACAAGTCAACCTTTGTATGATCTCAAAATGCTCTGCGACCAACACAGAAAAGAAGTATGAGTGAACCGCATCTCTAAAATTGTAGTGCACCATTGACAATTACAAAACAAAGCGCAGCAAATGCAGCAAAGAAACCCATTTCACCATAGAAAGTCGACTGCATCCTCGTGCCAGCAGTTCTGCTTCCACTGATTGCAGCGCTTTCTGTATGCTGTTGTCGCCGGCCCCTTTTGATCTTATCTTAAGGGCAAGGCCACCGTGCTTCTGATGCACCAAATGCAAGTCATCAACAGAGCTGCACATGTAGATATGGATGCCCAGCTGACTGTAAATTGCAAGCCAAAGCTCAACATCATCATCCAAAGAATTCGAGTGAATATTTATCCAATTGCAATAATTGCCCGCTAAGCTTAGTTTGGCAGACTTTACCATTACAGACGACTTATCTCTGACCCAGCTCACCTTTGCCTGATTGCTGTGAGGCGTGAACTGACTTCCCGGATTCAACTTCTTATCAATGGCACGTGCAATATTTTGTATTCGCAATGCTCTCTTTGCGGGGCTCATGTCCCACAAAGGAGGCTTCCCAGCGACGATCTGTGATGAGCCATTGTGGTATTGCACGACAAGATCTTTCAGAACTGCATCCTGAAAGGAGTCATGGCCTAGTAGCTCGCAACTGCCTTTCTGGCAAAACTTTGCTCGTATGGTATGCCAGGCATCTTGCCAGGACGTATAACTGCGGCTTCCACGCACTGCAATCTGCCAACCCAAAGCTTCAGTACGCTTTCCATCTGAACGCTTTCCAGTACAAAGATCATGCTTTATCAGCATCAAACCATCGGGAGAGGCTAGAACAAGGTACAGGTCATCGAAGGGAGCATGCGTTCGATGGCCCAACGGGAGCATAATATTGCGAAAACAAGCTTCCCAACATATTATGTTTTTGCTGCACTCCTTGCTCGCAATGAGAGTACCATGAACTTTCACTTTTCGGCCATCCCTCATGAAATCATACCCTGGCCCTCCCGCATCATCGCTTCCCTCTCCACGTCGACTGGAAGGCTCTCGATCCACGAACTTCGATCGTGGGTACATATCTTGAAGAATCTTCCTGACCCAATCCACATACAACCTGCGTCTCGTCTGATGGCTCATCTCACGCAAGGGACAATTCGCATATGCATTCTCCATCGGTCCCTCTGCCAAGAACTCCTGGAACTCAGGCTCCGCTGCACTGAACACCACCGGCCAACAGCGCTGGGTGGTCTTCGGCCTCCCCCTCCGCCATCCCCATGCCCGACACCCCAGGGCGGTCCCCACGGCCCGCCCCAGCGGCGCTCCGGTCGCGGCGTGGGCGCCGGAAAGCGCCGGTGCCCGGGACGCGGATGCCACGCCGGTGGGATGGCCCGATGGTCGGAACGTTGCCCTGAAGGTGGAGGGGAACGCCATGGCCGTGGATGATCAGCATGGCCAAGGTCCGTTTGGGGTCTTCAAGACATATTTCGCACTGCACTGACTGAGAAAGTGAGATAAAGTGAGGTACGTTGACAGCATTGATTCATGCTGAGTCCCTGTTGGATGCTATCAACTGGTCTTTCTCTTGAACCGATGGGATGAGTTGTTGTAGGTATGTACTGATCTTCCTTGTGCATATATCGATGGTCCCAATAATACACATCCTTGCTTGGCAATGCTACGAAGCCATGAAAGGACTCTCAAAAAGTTCGTCCCAACATTGAGACCAATGAATTGGGCATGCCTACTGTCTTGGAGATAGATTCAATATGTCTTGTCCAACCCAAAAGACCTCCAAACTATAAGATACTATAAGTAGCTCCCTCTGTTCTCACACACGAAAAAGATCTTCTAAAAGCCTCTTCTTCACGAACAGATCGAACATCAGGAACTGCACCAAATGCTCCACGTATGCGCAGCTCCCCCTAGTACTGCTGCTCCCTATGAAGGACCTAGCCCAAACATACCCTAACCATCCATGAGACCGGAATAGTTCCATTTATATACCCACATGGATTTACCCCAACCCATGGATGGCCTGGGCAAGGACTGCACCTCCTTCACTTCTTAGCGTCGGTTGGGCGGTTTCACTCGGGGCTCCGGACGGAGCTCCTCGGTGAGGTCCGGGATATACCTGGCCAAGAAGGACGAAGGAAAATGGTCCATCATGTTCCATCTAAAGTCCACTTCGGGCAAAATTATAATCCATATATAAATCATAAATCCACTTAAATCCCACTTGTGTAAGTGAACAAGTGGTTGTAGCATGTTCCATATAAATCAACTTAAATCCCACTTGTGTAAGTGAACAAGTGGTTGTAGCATGTTCCATATAAATCAACTTAAATCCCACTTGTGTAAGTGAACAAGTGGTTGACACACCCAGAACTGGTGCTCACCCAGCTCTTTTAATCCGACGTCCATGTGGAGTGGGCTGGCCAACGTGGCGAGCGCTTGGGATTTTCCATTGAATCCAAGACAGGGAAACGTTGGGAATATCACGTTGGGAATATCATATATCTCCCATTCCCTGGGCGCAGTGGGATGATGGTTCAGTTGCAGGTCGACATCTCTAAACTAGTGATAAGACCGTTTACCGACTATAGCAAATGGGACACCCCCAAGCAAAACGAACCAAAAACCATCAAAAACCCTTTGGGAGAAACCAGGGACCAGGGATCTTCGCTGTCCTCATATTGAAAATCGTCTTCTAGTGAGGGTCTGTGGTGAAAAGGGAGCGTTGGGTGTTCGATTTATATAGTAGTGTTCACATCTCTGAACAGGGTTTCTGCAGCGGTTGCCCTGTTTGGGAGTCAAAACATCGGATCCAAAGCCTTGCGCAAAAAGCGCTTCAAGTTGCTTCACTCGCACCAAATCCTCCAACTCGAAAAAAACTGAGCATGACTCACCACCCACTTCCCACTCCCCATAGCATAGCGTTGAACTTCCGGTCCTTCCCCGCGCCTGCGGTAGTGCGGATAGGACCGGAAGATGCCCGGGCACAGCACGGCCACCTTCACCGCGAATCCGAGCCTCAGACCGAGCGCAGCAAGGAGAGAGAGAGAGAGAGAGCGCCTCTGGGGGAGCGCAGTGATGGTGGAGGTTCGTCTACCTCCTAAAGGGGTGGGGCTACCCAATCCACTCGTGTGGGATTCTTCTTCACTTCTAAGCCGGTCGTTGCATGGTGTCTTTTGTTTGCATGATGCGTCCTGAACCTGTTTCATCAAGAGGTCAGAGGCGTCGCGTCACCATGCAGAGGTCATTCTCTCTACCGCGGACCGCGGAGATGCAATCAGCGGCACTGAAATACACGTTTCGCGGATATGCAAGATCTGTTCGGACTGCCCCCAGAAGAGTTGGACATGGTCGTTGACCATTCCATTGTTCTTTTTCCGCGGCCCCCCAAATAGATAGAAAAGTATAATCATGTTAAAATCCCGTTTCAATGATGTGTTGGAAATTGATTCTACAGTTATATATCTATTTGGGGACCTCTATAATCCTTCTTGACTTCTTGCTGTTTATTCCTGTCAACCTCTGTTCATTTGGCGTAAGCATGGGTGTTCCAGCACCTGCCTTCCAGCACCTCTTGTTGACGATAACTCTTCCGGAGGGAGGTTTTCTGATGTTTTCTGCTAAATCACGCTGGTGTCCTTGCTGGCCATTGTTTGCGCCCTGACTGGAACACTTCAGTGGAAGCGTAAAGAATTACACACCTAGTTCATTTAATGTCTTGAATATATCTCAGGCATAATGAACTGTCATTCGCGACGGCTGATTTATGCGACCTTGACAGTATTTCAACGTCTCAATGGATGGCCAGTGTCACTGCGGGCCCAAACACATGCACACACAACAAAAAAAAGGACGTATCCTCCTCTCCCTGGACTCGTCCCCATATGACAGGACTCCTGTAACAGGACTCCGGAACTCCTGCCCTGTCTCCTCGTTGCATTCAAGCAACAGGAGCAGGAACACGAAGAGCCACACCGAGATGGACTCGTTCTTCTGCCTTTCAAGAGCCCGGAGCGTCGCTGTCGCTGGGTCCGTGCACTCCGTGCGAATTCGGGGAGGCAACGTCTCCACGACGGCATACGGCCGCCACAGACCGAGCCATGTGGAATCCATGCCAACTCGGACTGTTAAGAGAAACGGCGTAGAGAGTCCAAGGTGCAGGGATTCAATATGGGAGATCTATGACCTAAACACTCCATGTATGGAATATGTACCCCATCGGGTCCAGGTAAACTTTTGAGGATGGTCTTGGAGGTGAGTACGTACTTCCTGAGAATGGTCCAACAGGGGCGAAAGGACGTCCGATTCGGATGCTCCTGGACCCTTACCTACGATGTACTCCGCCTCGGCCAACTGTTGGGTCTACTCCCAACGAATAATCTAATATACTAGGAGCAAGGACGCTACTAGGGGCTCCTGGCCGTATTACTAGGAACAAGAAGCTACTAGAAACAAGAAGCTTTTTAAATCAACTTATATAGTATATAAATTGTGGATTGTAGTTCCATCAAGACATGGACCCACCAAGCAATGGAGGTATATGTGAGAGTGGCTTTGGGATTCGCCCCCCTTCTGATCAAAGCACATGTCACTTTCGAAAGGTTTAAGAAAGACCCCTTCTCACCTGTTCTCCCCTTTCAGTTCCAGCACCATTCCACGATCCTTCCACCCACCTGCCTATTTGGACCTCTCTCGCGGCAACGTCACTGAACATCCTATCTCCGTCGATCGAGAAACCTTCCGCGGCCGAGCGGCGGCAAGATCTTTCCCACCAAGGCCGACTGCTCGATGTAGCCATCAGCTGTGCACCTGGGGACGATGGCGGTTTAACGATTCGTTCGAAGGCCGCTGCAATTCTTAGCCTGCGTTTTAGAGCCACCTATCTGGAAATTCTCCAGTACTCCCCAATCTCCATTTTGCTAGTTAAAACTGATATGGGCTAGATCAACATAGATCAACTGATCTGTATCTCTTTCTCCGCCTTCACCCCCCGAAAGCAACCATTTAATCCAAGAACATCCAAAACAACCCTCATCCATATACTACATCTTCAAACTTAATAGATCTCCAAATTCTACACGCTAGATCTGGATTTCATCCTCCAAAAGCATCTCCCCAGGCCCAAAAACTCTTTTCAGAATCCACCCACCCACCCCACCACCCACCCACCCCCCACCCCCCCACCCCCCCCCCGCCGGCCGTTTCCCGTGGTACCTGTCCAGGTGCTGCGCCGCGCCGCTGCACGCGCTGCCGCAGCGTCCGCTGACCGCCACGCAGCGGTCGTTGAACGGCGGCGGCGCCACCCGTTGCCCTGGCCGTGACCGGGCGGGACCGGCGGTCGGGGACGAGGTCCCCTGGGTCGGAAGGAGCCCCGCCCCGTGGGGCCCAAAATACTTAACAGAGGTTTTTCAGGACCCGAATGAAGTCGCCTATCCCAGTTCGGTACCCCGGGTGAGAGGTCCTAGTTCAGGTCACTTAACATACTTAACCTCTCTTTGGTATGAGGGTCGAGTCAAGCTGACGAAAAAGGCGGAAGATGGGAGATTGCCACCAGAAGTTGGGGAGTGTGAGTTGTTTTGAACCAAGACAGAGTTCTGAACCAAGGTCCTACGGGCCCAAAGATGCGCATGGATCATTCCATGCGATGCACCAAAAACCCCGAACCCAAAAAGTCCATGGGATCATGGAACCCGAAAAGGGAAGGCTTCGACAAGGAAAGCCCTCACTTTCACCACGCCTTGGTCCCTCAAAACCGGATTTGAGACGCCAGACCCCTCCATGTCAAGGTCCAAGGGCGTCTGGACAGGTGAAGACTCCCACGGATAGAACCGCCCTTTCGGGGCGTCCCTGGCGTCGCTCGGCGTCGCTCCCGACCACCAGCTCCCGTACCTCGCACACCGTGCGCGGCCTTTGTGCCGCAGCGCTCTCCGTTTCTCTCGCCCCTTTCGCTCGCCTGCGGTGAAGTTCTTGAAGTCTTCATTCTCGTACAAGGTGCTGTTCACTGCACAGGCCACCAAGTACAAGGGGCCTCGACCAATGTGTGAGCTTACATGGTTTTCCGGGAGCAAACTAGCTTGGGCGATCTGCTGCGATCGTGGTCTGGGTGGTTTTTCCGTTTGGGCAATCGAGCTTACATCACCAGCCAGACCACGTCAAACCACCCTCTTCCTAAAGAGCCAAGTCAACTCACGTCAACCCACCAGCCAAGCACTTCCATCACTTCCACACCCACCAAAACCAACGCCCCAACCCAACCAACTCACAAGCCTCATCCAATTCAACCACCCACTTCCAAACACCACCAACCACCAACCACCAACCAACCACCAACCACCAACCACTAACCAACCACCAACCACCAACCAACCACCAACCCCACCACCCACCACCCACCACCCACCACCCACCACCAACCAACCACCAACCACC